ATAGTACAGACAGTGAAGACTGAAGTAGAAGGGCACAGGAAAGGGTTAATAATCAAACATAATTATTCAAAGTTAAAAAACGATATCCAATGTCCAGAAATGAGCATGATACTCACGTATCAACACTGCCGGAAGATATAGACAAAGTGAATGGGACACCAGCAACCTTGCTTTTCTGATGCAGACACTGATACTCTGGACTAGCTGAGGATGTGCTTGGCACGTAACGCGTAAGGAGGAGCGCGTAAGGTAACGCGTAAGGAGGAGCCTACGCACGCCGTGACGTCACGCCGTCGGAGCATCGTGGAGCTCCGGCGGCTATTACATCTAGCAGGACGGTTAGTCCTGTCTGTGCTTGTTTGTTTTATTGGATGCATCCCCTCTGCTACTGTCATTTTTTACTACAATAAATTGTTTATGCAATAATTCACTATGGGCATCTTTTCTTGACCCCCGTGGGGAGCAACCTTTTCTCAGATAGGTTTTTTTGCCCAGTGGAGGAGTCGTGTTTCTTCTGGTGGATCAACGTTCGTTCTGTTCCCGGTTATCAAGAGGTTTTCTTCCTGCCCAGCTCTGCACCACCCGGGGATCTTCTCTGACCAACTGAACAGCATTTCTACTCTGATGATTACCCCATGAGCCTCATGATCTCTACATTGCACTTTTAATGTGCACATCTGGTTAGTGTGCACTTTTACTCCAAGTCACCTTTGCTGGGACTATTTTTTATTCACATTTAACTATTGTGTTTCTTATATATGTATGACAACTTTATATAGTTTTAGCGCTGCACTTTTATATATATACTCTGGACTTGCTGAGCTGTCAAAAGCAAGCAGCATCTCAGGCAGTTGAACATACAACTGGAGGAGGAAGATCACTGGAAATTGCAGGCAACGCATTTCAGGTGATCATCAAAGTCAGACAAGCCAGGTCGGTAACAGATGGTAAGGTTGAGTATATTCACGTAGACAGAAGCATAGTCGTAATTCAGGCTGGAGTTGGTAATAGAAGAGCAGGTGAGGAACAGAAGGAGCAGGCAGAAGCATAGTCCAAGTGCAAGCCAAGGTTGGTACAGATGTTAATCAGGAGCAGTCAAGGTAAGCTGGGCCTATAGCAGATACAGAGTTGCAGATAGCAGGTTTCACAGGATTGCTGGTCATGTGCAGAAGATGAGTTTAAAGTGTTTGTAAAGGCTCAAGGCTGTGTGTAGAAGCCCCCTCAGCCCCTCCAATTACTTACCTGAGCCCTATTGTGATTCAGCAATGTGCACTAGAGCCATGGCTATCTGGGGACTATCCCTCCTTATTGGCGCCTGCTTCTGTCAATCACATCCATTGAGCCAATGAGAAGAGAGGGCATGGGGTCAATCTGCAGCTCTGTGTGTGAATAGACATGCAGAGAACCAGCTCAGGAGTGAACCTTCTTGGGTTCCCCATAGCAAACTGCTTGGTCTGGGAGCACTCAGCAGGAGGAAATGGCCAGGGGACTCGAGAAGAGAAGGATTGGGGCTGCTCCATCCAAAACCAATGCACAGAGCAGGTAAGTATACCATGTGTAATAGTTTATAAATATGCCTTTAATATTGCTTTAAACAGCCCATGTAGTGCCAGCACTGGTGACAGATGCATGTGCACATTCTTGCGATCGTGCATAAATATTGGCACCTCTGTATGCATATGTACAACTACGTGCATCACATATTCATCCCAATGCACCATGCCATCTACTAGCATGCCCTTCCTAACATATGGCATGCAAATGATGATGTTTGCATTCCCATCCAACCTTCTGATGGAAAACATCTCAGTTGCTAGAAAAATGAGACATGACAAACTATAGATTTTTATAATAACCCCATTTATTACAGATATTGCATATGCATTTATCAAAAAGTAAAATGAATAAAAAATGCCAAACTTTGGCCTTCTGTGTTATACATAATATATACAGCAAAGTAAACAGAATGTTTCTTAGATAAATCAGAGACTTAGTCTACTAATTTTATGATAAAGGTATGTTCTGCAATTTGGAGGCAGCAAATAATGCGTATTGTGCTGACCTTTACTGGTTGTTTGTAAGCTTTTCTTTCAAAACTGGGAGATTTATATGGCTGTAATGCCCAGTGTTTTGGAGCATGCATAAAATTTACAACTTAGATGACATTAGAAGCATAATAAAAGGTAGATTGCCCACTCAGTGCAGCTGTTTATCACAGGGGAAAAAACAGATGTGCAAAGCACTACTGAGAAATGAGACCACTGTCCTCATTGATATTGGCCTGCTTGCTCTGTATACTTGGATATTTTTTTAAAGCACATAATAGATCAGTATGAGCAATAAAGAAATTCAATAGCTGAAGTACCAATGCTTTAAAGAAGTGTTTAAGACTATACTTCTTTCTTCCCTACTTTTATGTTGGCGCAGTCAAATATTAGTGTCTTGTTCCTTGGTCACATGTCTGTTGGGTAGTCAGCTGTTGGTTGCCTGTCCATTGGTAGTACATCGGCTGGCCAGTTGATATTCAAGCTACTTGTCTCTTGTCCGGTAATTTGTTGTCTAGACTCTTGTTATCTGCTGAACCATCATTTGATGATTGGTCACTTCTTTTCATGTTCCCATGTATTGCTTGCCTTTTGATTTTCCTGAATGACTCCTAGTGACTCCTCTGGGACCTTCTGAAATTATCCTATTGTATATCCTGCCTGTTGACAAAGTCCGGATGTGACGAAATGCGTCCGGGGCACGTGACGTAGTGATGCATTGACGCTCCCGGAAGTGCCGTGGTGGCCATTTTGGATTCTGGCACACTTGGTTGTCCATATCCCTGGGACTTCCAGTTACCATCTGGCACCCCTCTAGAGCTGAATGATCATCGTTTTTGGGAGCCATCGCTGAGTATTACAGCTGTATATACAGCTTTATGACATGGAAGCTGATTTTATCGGTTTTTAATGTAAGTTGCTATAATAAAATTTGTATATTATTTGATTCATACGCTGATCCCTGGTCTGTTTGTGAGGTCTATGGAAAGTGTCTGGAGAAGATTATGTCATTTTGAGGAAACTCCATTCCTAACTATGGTTTACATGTTGGTTTCATTTATTTTAGGTTAATTATGCACTTTTACTATATTGTTTGCAGTGGTGTAAACTGTGCTTATTTGAATCTCTCACGATTGCTGTGGCACTGTAGCGTTTGCATGTTGCACGTGTGGTACCTTTTTGAGACCTAAGATAACACACTATGTCGAGGTTTTTTTCTGTTTGAGGTACACGAAGATTTTTTGGGAATCATCATCGATCATCGGAATCAGTGTGTATTTATCTTTCAAGATTGTGGACTTATTTGGCATATTTTTCTTGGCTTTGGACTTTTATTGGACTTTGGGTTTATTTATTTTAAGTTTGTTTTATATATTTTATATCCTGCCTTTACTTCCTCTCTCAGTGATGCACCACTGAAAAGACATGTGTGATTCTATATATTCAGACTCTAGTCCAACCCACCAATAGAAATGGCATGAGTTGACAATATTGACTGGTGTCATCTGCATCCGAATTAATGAATGGAATGAAACTTGGATCCATTCGATATCCAAATCTGAATTATCGAACACATTTGAAAATTGAATTAATTTCCCCATGGTCCTGAACTACTATCACATCATTAGACGTCATCTTATTGAAACAAATGAAACAAATGCACTATTTTTGGATTCTTGACATTCGTAATTACATCCATTCATTTTCATCCGGAAAAAGAATTGTAACAAAATAAAATGCTCATGGCTACCACTAAAGACCCCCAAAAATCCATTCTAAATGTACTTTCTGAAGGGTAGGCATGCTCTCACCTAGCTTATGACAGTACTCAGGACCAGTAGCGTATTTACCACAAGGTGAACAAGGCATTTGCCTAGGGAAGCATTTTTCAGGGGGGCAGCACCTCCCCCTGGAAGAAGGGATGGAAGAAGGGACATGTGCGCCATAGGAACTAGGTGGGATCCAAGAGACAGTATATAAAATAGTAGTATGCAGCGCTAAGTAATAAATAATAGAATAATAAAAATAAATGGTAAGTGGTAAAATATATAAGATGGTACTAAAAAGTGGGTGCTGTCAAGGCGTGTATACAGTGAAATAGTGTCTGCGTCCAGTGGTGACGCTTAAATGTAGCAAGAGCAACACAATATGTGACAAGTATGGATAGTTCAAGTAAGTGACATAAGTCCAGATGCTGAGATTAATCTGTGCTCCGTACTGGTGACTTCAGATGACAAAAAACCAGTGGTACTATGCACTTACCAAAAGCGCATAGTGAATGCGCAGGGATGAAATACATCCATTATAGGGTCATCTGGGTCTGGTCTAAGGCTGCAGGGTCATCAAACTCAGTATGGACATGTGGGAAGACACTGCTCACACAGGGGTCACACTCTGCTCACATACCCATCATAGACAGCTCCAGGGACACAGCATACACGGTACTCCAGATGCAGCAATGGCACCACCTTTATAAGGCTTGTGGCAACAAAGCCAAAGGACAAAAATGTGCCAATAGTGTAGTACGTTTATTGAATAGTATAAAATCCAGATATTATGAAAAGAACTCACATGTGATGGTATGAATGAAAACAAATATGGCCGCCGGCCTTCCTCGTGGCCGTGCACGGCGTGACGTCACTCCACAAGAGAGGCTGCGGGCTGCTTGATGGTGTATGCAGAACCTGACTCTCGTTCCTGGGATGTCTGGAGCTGTGAAGATGAGTGTCTTTCTTTCTATCGCCGGGAGGGTGGGAGTAGTGGAAGGCTCTACTGGGCAGGGGACAGGGATGTTGTTGGTCAATGGCAGGCTCTGTCTGCAGGAGGGGGAATGGGGGGGTGGTATTGGCCTATGTCCCTGGGGGCAGGCAATTTGCCTAGGCAGCACAAAACCTAAATTCATCACTGCTCAGGACTAGTGGTAAATTGAACAGTCATTGCACTGGTGGGGAACAGGGGCGGACTGAAAACTCATGGGGCCCCCAGGCAATAGGGGATCATGGGGCCCCTGTGTCCTTGCCCAAACTCAAAAAAAGCCTATGTAAAAGGTACCAGGGGCATCTCATGGGGCCCCCTACTAACTCCGGGCCCTCGGGCAGTGCCCGAGTTTACAAGTGGTCAGTCCGCCCCTGCTGGGGAAGAATGTTGGAGAATCAGTTGCAGTCACTGTTTGGGTAATCTGACAGCTGTGCAGGGGTGAATACAATAGTCAGCAGGGGGAATACATCAACCCATGCTGTTTACGCAGATGGGGAATGTATGATGAATCTATGGAGAGAAATCTTTATGTGTATGGCCAGCTTTAGGGTATTTTCTATCCGGCAACAGTGTTTCTTTCTTATCTCTGCCAAAGATAGATCTTTTTTAAGCCAGATGGTGGACTAGATCTTTATATTGACACCTGGAGTCATGGAAACACTAAATATACGTTCTGGTTGTACAGATGTCTCTAAACGTAGCATTTTTTCAGGTCTTCGATAACGACCTTAAATAATTTATCTTGTGTTGTTTGTGAACCACTAATCTTTTCACATAATCTTTCCCATTCGCCCTCAGCATACAACTGTCCATTCTCGTCTTAAGAAAGTTTGTTTAAATATTTATTATCGTTGGAATGTATAGTCTCTCTAGTGCCACATTTACATGCCTTCAGGTATAGATAGGTACATCCCCTTAGAGAAATTCATTATTTCAGTTCTTCCCTGGAGGACTTCATCCTTTATGCTGAGTCTAAGGGAATATAACGTGATCTTCAGAACTAGAACGTCTGAATTAGATAATTATTTTGAGAAAAAAAAATCATGGAGTCAGCAAATAAACATTAAGTTAAGATACAAAAACGTACATACTTTTTGTTCTGCTTAGCTTATATTTATTGTGCACATTTATACCTTTTTTGTATTACTTTTAGCACTCTGTCATTATTGCTAAGACAGTTTCATTCTGTGTTCTAATAAAAGGTTTTGTTAAGCCTCCACTTAAAGTCTGCAGCTACAGATTGAAAGCACAACAACTTGTTTTAATCAGACATATTTAAACTCTGAGACCTTTTATTGCAACTTAGTTCAACTTCTTACCACCTACATCTTCCTGGCAGACAAGCTTGTGTCTGCAATGCATTGGCTCACTATTTCACTGGGTAATCTGTTGGTGGAATGCCAAAATCTTTTGAATCTTGGCCATTGAGCTATGAATTAATGATTTTCCTAATGTGCTGTTCTGTATTGACAGATGGAACACTAAGGGGGGAATTTTGAAAAGTACACTCGTTATACAGTATGGGTATTTGTGCATGGCAAATAACTAAGTTATTTGAACAATGTCATTGTTTTAAGTTAAAGATGACTCTCTGGGGTTTATTTACTAAAGTTGGAGAGTCCAAAATCAGACTCCCTTCTGCATAGAAACCAATCAGCTTCTAACCTCAGCTTGTTCAATGAAGCTTTGGCAATGAAACCTGGAAGCTGATTGGTTTCTATGCAGAAGGGAGTCTGATTTTGGACTCTCCAGCTTTAGTAAATAAACCCCTCTCTGTCTTTGTGAACTTCAGCTCATAAGTCTACTAGACAACGCTTCCTTCTTATATTAATTAATAATACTGTCTACCCATAATAGCTTCTGTCATCTTCTCCCTTTTGCTTTTGATCTTCTCTGGCCTTACACTTTTTTTAGTCCTGCCTTGCTATTGCATGTTCAAAGTGCTTAAATATTTGAGGGCTCCTTCAGTTCTGACTTGCCATTACATGTTTGAAGTATTAACGGCTGAAAAAATACAAAAGTCCATCCAGTTCAACCCAGGGGTGTATTTACCACAAGGCATTTGCCTAGGGCGGCATTTTTCAGGGGGGCAGCACTGCCCCTTGTTAGAAGGGGCGGAAGAAGGGACACACATGGCATGGGGACCTGGTGGGTTCTGAGAGATGCTGTGGGTTTCATGATGGTGTATGCACAGCCCGACTCTCATTCCTGGGGATGTCCAGAGCTGTGAAGGTGAGTGTCTTTCTCTTTCTCGCCATGGGGGATGGTGGCTGGTGTATGGGGGGCAGTGGTAGTGGAAGGCTTGGGTGGAGGGGTGCTCTTGGTCAATGTCAGGCTTTTTCTGTGGGGGAGGGGGGGCACAAATGTTTGTTTTGCCTAGGGCAGCACAAAACCTAAATACACCACTGGTTCAACCATTAAAAAAAAGTTATAATCCTATACCCACAGTTGATCCAGAGGAAGGCAAAAAAACCCAGCAAAGCATTATCCAATTTGCTCCTGCGGTGGAAAAAAATTACCTCCTGATCCCCCAAGAGGCAATCAGATATTCCCTGGATCAACTTTACCTATAAATGTTAGTAACCAGTTATAGTCTGTGTATCCAAGACAGAATCCAGGCCTTTTTTAAAGCAATCCACTGAGCTGGCCAGAACCGACTCTTGAGGAAGTCTATTCCACATTTTCACAGCTCTTACTGTGAAGAAACCTTTCCGCATTTGGAGATTACATTTCTTTTCCTCCAGACATAAAGAGTACCCCCTTGTCCTATGTGATGACCTCAGGGTGAATAGCTCTACACCCAGTTCACTATATGAACCACTGATGTATTTATACATGTTGATCATATCCTCCCTTATGTAGTATACATGGAGATCATATCCCCCTTCATCTCTTCTCGTCCGAGAATGCATTTAGTTCCTCTAATCTTTCCTCATAGCTGAGCTCATCCATGCCTCTTATCAGTTTGGTTGCCCTTCTCTGTACTTTCTCCAGTTACATAACATGGAGGCAGTATAGGGAGTTATTGGCTCCTACAGCCGTCAATCACAGCCTGTGAGGAGGAAGCATGGGTGGGCCAAGTTGCACTATGTGTGTCAATGAACACACACAGTGCAGCTTGGGATTAACTCAGCAGAAGTGCTCCTATTGTAAGCACTTGCTATAAGGGCACTCAGCAGTGGAGCAAATAATTCCAGCGGGGAAGCCCAGTAGAGGGAAGTGAATCAAAGGGGTAGGGAATCAGGAAAAGCACTCGGCAGAGTCAAAAAGGCACAGAACCAAAGCTCATAATAAGAAATTGTAGGGTTCAGCTACGAGCCTACCACTCCTGAAAACTGGTGTGGAAGGTCAGGGCTAGCTACAAGATGCATAGTAAAACCTGGTATATTCAGATAATCAGCAACTCAGCAACAAGTGTCCACCTGGTCCTCAACTCTTCATAGAAAAAACAAAAACTAAAGAAACAAGACAAAAAGAGAAGGAAAAAAAGAAGGAAGAAAAAGAAGGGAGGAAGAACAGTCAACAGTAATCCCATCGGCCCACTCCCACCCAAGCCTATATCCTATAAGTATCTAAGCTAAGGATTCAAAACCCTTTCAAATATGGCTTGTTTGTCTTTTAAAATGCATATCAATTTTTCTTGTTTTTAGTAGCAGCATAAATTATCTCTGGGAGTTTCCATGCTACAGACAATTTAGCAGCTAGAAGGATATAAAAAATTAAAGTACATAGAAATTTGGGCATCTCGTATGAGAGGTCATTAAAAAGTACTGCTTTAAAATTTTGAGGTATGTTGACCCCAGTCACTGTATAAATGGGGGGTGAATATTCAAATCCAAAAACGTTGGACTCTTGAGCGAGACCACCATATCTGATACATAGTTCCCTCTCGTTCACACACCCTAAAACAGAGAGGCAAGGCATCCAGGTAAATTCTTGCATTTCTAAAGGGGACAAGGTACCAATGGGAAATAACTTTATAATTAGCCTCAGATAATCTAGTATTTATAATCCCCCTGTGCACCATATCTAAGCATAAGGCCCACACCTCTTCAATCTCCTCTCCCATTTCAACCTCCTATGCTTTCTGGTATGAAAGCTTACTCATAGGAGTTGAGTAGAAGGTGTTTAGCTCCGAAATGACTCTCTTCATCCAAGGTCATCTCATACATCTATTCTCAAAAAAGGTTTTGCTCAAGATGTTGTCCCTATTACACTGAAGGGAATATAAAAAGTGGGCTATTTGGAGGTAGCGAAACATTTTCAAGTGTGGAATCCCCAAATTTTGTTTAAGTTATTCAGCCAATTTAATGCCTCCATTACCTATAAAATGTCCTATCTTGTACAGGCCCTTGCTGATCCACCAACCAAACTGCTGGGGAGATTGAACTGGTGGGAATATAAATCTTCAGCTTAAAAAAAAAAAAAGAGAAAAAATGTCTGGTGATATTACCATGAAATGGCAGTCCCTGTTTCACAGTTGTGCTTTTGTATTGTCACCTGAGCTTCTGATGGAGACTACAAATGCCCATTTTCAACACACGTTACATAGACATGGTCCACTATTGTCACCATCAGAAATGATATTAGCAGACTGAAATGCAACAAAAGATAACAAATATGACAATTATTTACAGAACTTTAGCAAACGAACTGTCACCCATTTAGGGTTTACATTTACTTTTAAAGTGACCCTGTCACTGTAGGTTCCCAAAGTAAAATAATCCCAGTCTGTGTGTTGAAACTGAAAAGTTGCTGATCCCTGGAAACGTCAACACTTCCAGATGTGTTGAGTACCTCCTCATGCTGAATGTTGTGGTTCCTGCTACCTGATTGTAAGTCACTACAGGACAAACCACCGGAGCCACAGGGGATCAGCAACAAAACAGTTTTTAGACATGACCAAAAACCTAATAAAATTTATACCACTTGAATGTCCCAGTCTGTTATCCCAGTCAGTCAATGTTTAACGTTGGTGGTTGGAGTGAATACTGGCTTGTCAGACACATCAAGGACTACAACAAAATGGCACCTGTCCACACACTGCCTCGGCATATATTGAGCTTCTCTTGGTAAAAAATGGCTTTAGCTTGGTCTCCTAATTATGGGGGAACCCCTCTAACATGTTTGGCCCAATAGGGGCTTAATCGTTAGCACTTTCTTACTAAGAGGAACTCACTATATGCCAAGGTAGTGTGCCGAAGGGTGCCATTTTGTTGTAGTTTTTGCACATGGATCACGGGAAAAGAATATCATATTTTACAGGAGGAGCATTAGGAGCAAACTCCTGAGATCATCACTATGCCCATTCAGCAATCTCCTCCTGTCAGAAAGTCACCCGTGCTGACCCATCCTTCCCAAGTCCGAGGGTCT